AAGAAAGAAAGAAAGAAAGAAAGAAAGAAAGAAAGGAAGGAAGGAAGGAAGGAAGGAAGGAAGGAAGGAAGGAAGGAAGGAAAGAGAAATGATAAATATATTATAGAGAGAGGGAAGGGGAGAGAAAGAAAGAGAAATGATAGATATATTATAGATAGAGGGGAGAGAAAGAAAGAGAAATGATAAATATATAGAGAGAGAAGGTGAGAGAAAGAAAGAGAAAGAAAGAGAAATGATAGATATATTATACATAGATAGAGAGGGGAGAGAAAGAAAGAAAAATGATAAATATAGAGAGAGAGAAGGTGAGAGAAAGAAAGAGAAATGATAGATATATTATACATAGATGGAGAGGGGAGAGAAAGAAAGAAAAATGATAAATATATAGAGAGAGAAGGTGAGAGAAAGAAAGAAAAATGATAGATATATTATAGATAGAGGGGAGAGAAAGAAAGAAAAATGATAAATATAGAGAGAGAGAAGGTGAGAGAAAGAAAGAAAAATGATAGATATATTATAGATAGAGTGGAGAGAAAGAAAGAAAAATGATAAATATAGAGAGAGAGAAGGTGAGAGAAAGAAAGAGAAATGATAGATATATTATACATAGATAGAGAGGGGAGAGAAAGAAAGAGAAATGATAAATATATAGAGAGGGAAGGTGAGAGAAAGAAAGAGAAATGATAGATATATTATACATAGACAGAGAGGGGGAAGAAAAAGAAAGAAGAAAGAAAGAAAGAAAGAAAGAAAGAAAGAAAGAAAGAAAGAAAGAAAGAAAGAAAGAAAGAAAGAAATGATAGATATATTATAGATAGATATAGAGGTGGGAGATGATAGAGATATAAATGATAGATATGATAGAAATATAGATGAGATAGATAGATAGAAAGATAGATATGATAAATAAAGCTAGAAATGATATAGATAAATATGATAATGGACGGACGGACGGACAGACAGACCAGATTGTGCTCCACTAATGGCCGGGTCCTTTTCATCAAAAGAAGACTGATAATCTTGAAAATAAGAAGAGCAGCTCACTAGGATGTTTAGTGAAGAGGGCAATCTTTATGGAGAATGTTTGAGATGTTAAAATGTGCAAATATGTGTAGAAGGGTAACCATCCCTGCAAGCAATGAATGTTTGCTAAAAGACACAAAACAAAGGGCCGTGCATGTTTTGTGAAAATGAGGGTTGGGTAAACCAGGATAAGTTTATGGAAGCTTGAAGGCTGATTCTTAAAGGCGTTGGCTAAAACAAGAAGGAATCAGTCAAAAACGAAGGCCATCCCTCTGGACGAAGGTGGATTGAATAGGAAAAAAAAAAATGACTGGCCAGGACAACAGAAGTATGTTGGGTTTGGTGGCCACCGAAGGAGAATGAATAAGGATGGGTTCCTAAAATAAATACTTGCAAAAGAGAGTGAATTTGGCTGAGAGGGGAGCAGGACTCTGAGATAAATAAAGAAATCCAAGATAAGGAGGCGAGAAGAATGCAGGAGAAGCAGAGATGGATGGCCAGGATAGAAAAGCATGGAGTCATAAGTGAACCACGTTGGTATAAACTACTTTTAGCTATGTTTGTTTTCCTTTCCTTTTTCTTATCTTCCTCACTTCTCTTCTCCGCTCCACCCCACACCGCTTATCTCCAAGGGGAGCAAGAGTTGGGTGGACTGCAGTGTTGATAGATCGAGATCTTCTAAGTCTGTCTGCTGAAGGTCAGGAATTCCCTGCAGACAGACGGACACACGGGTTGGCTTAATGAGCTCGCTTAAAACAGAGCTTCCCTTGGTGATGTCTAGCAACTTGCAGTTTTCCTTTGAGGAAGCTTTTCTGCTCTGGATCCTAACATCCCACAAACTCTGTTTTATTTGCAGGGATTTCTGTATTCCCCACAGGGGAAAGGGGGCATAACAGGTTGAACTATACTCTAAGCTGGCCTCCTCTTGACAAGAGAACATCCTTACTCCCTTTCTTCCAAGGACTCCCTGCCTGCCCCTCCCCTCCCCCAAGTCTCTTCCCTTCTTCCTCCCACAAACCTGGATTGTAAACTATTTCCTGGCACATTCCAGCCTATTTCATTCTCGCTGACAGAAAATGCCTTCAGCAGATTCTTATTTCCGTAAACGTCTTTTTTTTTTTTTTGGCTTCTTTGCTGAAGCAAGGAACGATCTCCGTGGAACAAAAGTCAGAATCAGAATCAGAATAGAGCTGGGAGGGACCTTAGAGGTCTTCTAGTCCAGCCCCCTAGTCAAGCAGGAGATCCTATACCCGTGATGGCGAACCTAGGGCACGCGGGCCACAGGTGGCACACAAAGCCACGCAAGCTGTAGGCAAACTTTTACCTCACTGCATTTCAGTCCTTTTTTGGCCTCCTAGACGCTTGAGGACAGCTACTGGGAGGCCGAAAAAGGACTGAAACAGGCCGAAAATCAGCTAGGAGTCGCAATGCAGGTAAGGTAAGATTGTGTGCGCATGCAAGGAGTGTGTGGGGCCCCCCCCACGCGCATTGCCTTCTGGGTGCTGGCATGTGAGCACACAATTTTTGGCACAGGAGCCCAGAAAAGGTTAGCCACCACTGTCCTATACCATTTCAGACAAGTAGCTGTCCAGTCTCTTAAAAACCTCCAGTGATGAAGCCCCCACCATTTCTGGTGGCAAGTCGTTCCACCGGTTAATTGTTCTCACTGTGAGGAAGTTTCTCCTTAGTCCCAGGTTGCTTCTCTCCTTGGTTAGTTTCCGTCCATTGTTTCTTGTCCTGCCTACGGGGGCTTTGGAGAATAGCTTGACTCCCTCTTCTTTGGGGCAGCCCTTCAAATACTGGAATCCTGCTATCATGTCATCCCCTAGTCCGTCTTTTCTTTAGATTAGCCAAACCCAAATCCTGCAGCCGTTCTTCCTATGTTTTAGTCTCCAGACCTTTGATCCTCTTAGTTGCTCTTCTCTGCACTTGTTCCAAAGTCTCAACATCTTTTTTGTAATGTGGTGACCAAAATTGGTTGCACTATTCCAGGTGTGGCCTTACTAAGGGTTTATAAAGCGGTACTAATACTTCATGCGATTTTGATACTATGCCTCTGTTTATACAACCATGGATTGGATTTGGGTTTGGGGGCTGCTGCTGCACGTGGCTGGCTCACGTTTAAGGGATCATCCCCTCCCTTGCAAAATTTGGCACGTTCCCAAAGTCAATGGACCATACTTGGAAAAAGGCCTTGACTTAAGGTATCCCTTGTGGTTGCCCGTGTTTGTGGCCTTGTGCAAATCTTTGCAGGTTGTGTTAAATGGGAGGGGGATTGAGGCTGCTTTCAAACAGAAGGCCAGCCCTGTTGGGTTGGCTAAGGGAGCACAGCTGGAACAATATCACACCTACCCTAACGAAGGGATTTAGTTTAGTTTAGTTTAGTTTATTGTCATTGCACCTCCTTCAACAAAATTATATGTCTTCAGTGTACAATTGATGACTATGAAAATAAACACAAACACACATCCCTCACACTCCATGCATTGAATTGAAAATTGCATTAATATTGCACTATGCAGTTTTCTCTTCCTTCTGTGACTTCAGGGCTTAATGCTGGCCCGTTGCATTCAGTAAAACAGGGGTCCCCAACCACCGGACCCCGGACCGGTACCGCTCCGTGGATCATTTTGTACCGGGCCGCCTACTTTGCTTGGGCGCCGCCATCTTGTTTCGACGGCGCTTGAGAAAGTGCTTCCGGGTGAGCTTGTCGGTCGTCGGTTGGAAAGCGGCGTTTGGGTGCTGAAGGAATCCTCGCGCCTTAGTTTCGTCGAAGAGGTGGGGGGCGGCTTCGAACGAAGAGCCGTCCCGATGGCGGTGGAGTCTCTCATTACTCAGGAGGAGATTAAGAAAGAGCCCGAAAAGCCCATCGACCACGAGAAGGTACAAAGGAGGAGTTGAAGGTGGCTGGGAGAAGCGGGGGACGGCTGGCTGGCCGGTCGCTCGGCTCGCCTTGCCTTGGTCGTGCGTGCTGATGCCGGTACCGGTCCGGGGATCATTTGTATCAGTCCGTGGTACAAAAAAGGTTGGGGACCACTGCAGTAAAAGGCTCCTTCGCAACAAACTTCCATGGCTCAATCTGCCAAAGGAGCCCATATTGGAAGGAGGAAGGTCTACACTGATTCTTTCGCCCCTTAGCTTCTCTTCCAAGACATGAGTTCGCCTCCTTGTGTAAGCCAACTGTGAAGAGACCCGATCAGGGCAGGCTGAGTGCAAGGACGCTGCAGCAACAGATCTTCTCCACCGCGGCCAACGAACAAATGAGGAATCCAAACATGGCTTCCCAAGGGGAAAGTTCCATCCTTCATTAGCCACCGACAAGGGAATCTGAGAGGACTGTGTGGATTAATCTGATGTGGGGGTAGAAGCGCAGGACTCGGAGGGAATATACCACTCCCCACCCTCATTTAAGCCGTGGCAGCTTCAGAAAAACGTTATTTTAGAAGGAGAGTTTATTAGAACAAGGAAAGTTATTTCTCTTTCTGAAAGGAGGTCCGCTGGGAACTGGAAAAGATATTTCTAGGACGCTTCCTCCAATTGTCAGCCCTGCCAGGAAAAAAAAAAACATTACTAGGTGAGCTAATTCTACTGTATTTGTAAAGCTGTAAATCAGGATATTGCAAGTGTGATAATACACATCTCGCAGGATCCTTTTTACAGCTTGAGAAGTGAGGGAATGTCTTTCTCCACCCATTATGCAACTGGGGGGTGGTATCTATAGATTTACAGATTAACAGAGTTGAAAAGGACCTTGTAGGTCATCTAGTCCAACCCCCTGCCCAAGCAGGAGACCCTACACCATTTTTTGACTGGTGGCAGTCCAGTCTCTTCTTGAAAGCCTCCAGGGATGAAGCTCCCACAACTTCCGAAGGCAACTTCTGCTCCATGGGTTGATTGTTCTCCCTGTCAGAAAATTCCTCCTTATTTCTAGGTTGAATCTCTCCTTGATCAGTTTCCATCCATTATTTCTTGTCTGGCCTTCGGGTGCCTTGGAAAATAGCTTGACCCCCTCCTCCTCTCTGTGGCAGCCCCTCAAATCTTGGAAGATGCTCTCCTGTCTCCCCTGGTCCTTCTCTTCCCTAGACTAGCCAGGCCCGGTTCCTGCAACCATTCATGGAAAGTTTAAGATTGGGAAAAACAACTCCAAAAAAGAAATAGAGTGAAAAATAAGTATAAAATCAGAAAGCAACAGAAGAGGGAAATGCAGAAGAGAGAATTAGAACTAGACAGACAAGGGGGTAAAAAGGGGAGGGAGAAGATGAGAGGGAAGAAAGAAAGGAAAAGAAGTTATAAAGGACAGAAGCAAAATATAGAGAAACAGGGCCTATTTAGAGATAATGGGTGAAAACTTAATGGAAAAGGGGATTCTGCAAACATAAGATAGTATGGTTACATAAGTACATAAGATAGTATGGTTATATTAGAAGCAGAAATAATTTTAGAAAATATGAAACAATGTATGATTAAAATGCCTGATAAAATAGCTATTGTAATTCAGTGGAATGCTCGTCAATAAATAAATGTAACAAAAGGCATATTTAATGATTTATAAAACATATGTGAAGAGAAATAAGGGAAAAATTAATTATGGAGATTATATGTGTTTTTAAGGAAGTATGATATTTAATTGAAAAGAAGTGTTAAAGATGTTAAGATTTTAATGATTATTAATGATAGAACTGAACTGGAATGGAATGAGGGTTTATAATTACATATATTTACAATCTTTCTTTTTTTTTAAAAAAAGAATATAGTGTGTATTATAACAATGTACCAAGCAGAATTCGATTGGAAGTTATGTATTATGTATTATATTGAAGGTCATAAACTTAAGGTATATATTGAAGTTTAAATAAGAGTTGAATGGATGTAATTAAAAGATATAAAGGTGTCATACTCCAATTAGTAACTACAGGAGAAAATTTGTTTAATGAGAAAAGATAATATGAAATTGAAACAGAACAGACAAAAGTATAAATTATAATGATTTGAACTGAGATGAGATAATCAAAATAAAATTGAGAAAATTAAAAGAGGGGAAAAACTATATAGAAAATGTAAAATAGTATAAGATATGGAATAGAATACAAAAAGGAGTATGAAATTGAGTTTTGTGTCTGTATAAAGAAATTCAACCCGGGACCATGCTATTTTCAAAAAAGATGTTTTACTTGTATTTTGTGTGTGAAAACCCAAATAAAACTTTATTTTAAAAAGAAGATAAATAATCCAGAACTTTTGTTTATCTGGCCAGCATTCTTGGGGATTAGTGGGAATGTGTGTGAGGAGCTGGAAGAGGCCAGAGGCTGCTTAATCAGGGCTAATGACTCTTAACAGTCCACAAATACTTAACGATCCCCAACACTATTTTAGCCTGGTATGTCTGTCGCCTTCCAGGGCTAAATGAATTCCAGTCCATCTGAAATTCATCTGAATGGTGCATAGAGAAGAACTTCAATCAATCAATCAGAATAGAGCTGGAAGGGTCCTTGGAGGTCTTCTAGTCCAGCCCCCTGGTCAAGCAGGAGAACCTATACCATTTCAGATAAATGACTGTCCAGTCTCTTCTTGAAAGCTTCCAGTGATGAAGCTCCCACAACTTCTGGTGGCCAGCTGTTCCACTGGTTGATTGTCCTCCCTGATAGGAAGTTTCTCCTTAATTCCAGGTTGCTTCTCTCCTTGATTAGTTTCCATCCATTGTTTCTTGCCCTCTGGTGCTTTGAAAAATAAATCTCCCCCCCCATCTCTCCTTTGTGGCAGTTTCACAAAGTTTGTGAAATAGTTGTGTATAGTTGTGCAAGCTCAGAAGCTCACTCCCCTCTTCCCTCTTCTGTGCGCCAGGGATCGAATGTGCCAATGAGATCGACGAATGCCAAGATGACCCTTGTGAAAATGGCGGTACCTGCGAAGACACCATTGCTGACTATATCTGCCGTTGCACCTTCAACCCAGATGGCGTCTCCTGGGGTGGGAAGAACTGCTCCGTGGAGCTCACGGGGTGCAAGGCCCACAACTGCCAAAATGGGGCGTTGTGTGTCCCCACCTTCCAATTGGAGGCCCACGGCTACCTGTGCCAATGTCCTCCTGGATTTTATGGGCCCACCTGCACCACCCCAACCACCTTCTCCCTCACGGACAATGGCTACCTCTTAATCAACGCATCTGCAGATGATAAGAACACAAGTGGCCATGGAGCCAGCGTGGCTCTTCGGTTCCGGACCACCCTTCTCAACGGCCTCCTTTTCTACCGAGGCCACCAAACCGAGCATCTTCTCCTGGAACTCTACGCTGGCCTCCTCCAGGTGATGCTCTTGAGCCAGGAGGCCAATGTATCTTTCACACTGGAAGCACCTCCAGTGAACGATGGCCACTGGCACAAGGCGGAGGTCTCTCTGCGAGAGTCTCTTGAATTCAGGCTGTGGCATGAAGCTTGCCCAGGAGGCATCTGCCTGTTCAGCCACCCCCTTGGCGAGACCACCCCTGTTTCTCTACTACCCTCATTTCTGAATATCTACGTTGGTGGGGTTGAAGAGACCTTAACGATCAACTGCACGAGACACTTCACTGGTTGCCTGGAAGACCTGCAGATTGACTCGAAGATACTCCTACCAGAGGACGTAAAAGGTCTGCAGCTTTCTGGATTTCAGCTGGGTTGTGAGAGAACGGAATGGTGCCAGTCTGAGCCTTGTTCCCACGGCGGTCAATGTGTTGACTTCTGGACAGACTTCCGTTGTCACTGTTCCCGGCCTTACGAAGGCCACACTTGCTCCTACGGTGAGTAGCATGAGAGGGCTCCCATTAACCACCTCAAGAGAGAGAGAGAGAGCAGGAATTTGGGTAAGAAATAAAAATATTTTCAGGAAGAATGATAGGAGACGGTGGTAGGTGGGGAACACATCTGCTTTCTTTTGGTAGAATAACAGGAATTTGTTTTGGGTCCTTATCCACGATGAAGGAAGACAGAGAGAAGTTAGTGCCACAACCATTAAATGGCCCCATGTAACAGTGTAATGAAGTTTGAAGGGACCTTGGAGGTCTTCTAGTCCAGCCCCCTGCTCAAGCAGGAGACCCTATAACATTTCAGATAAATTCAGTCTCTTCTTAAAAGCCTCCAGTGTTGGAGCATTCACAACTTCTGGAGACAAGCCATTCCATTGATTAATTGTTCTAAGGGTGAGGAAACTTCTCCCTAGTTCTAAGTTGCTTCTCTCCTTGATTAGTTTCCATCTGTTGCTTCTTGTCCTGCCTTTGGTGCTTTGGAGAATAGTTTGACTCTCCTCTTCTTTGGGTCAGCCCCCCAATATTGGAACATTGCTGTCATGTCACTCCTAGTCCTTCTTTTCATTCATCTAGACCAGGGGTCCCCAAACTTGGCAACTTCAAGACTTGTGGACTTCAACTCCCAGAATTCTCCAGCCAGAGAATTCTGGGAGTTGAAGTCCACAAAGTTGCCACATTTGGAGACACTCAATTCCTGCATCCGTTCTTTATATGTTTTAACCTTCAGTCCCCTAAATGTACATTATTCAAGACTTTTCTAGAGCCCAAAACTCCATAATCCTCTGAAAAACTGTCCCCTCCAAGCAGAAGCCATTCTGAAAACTCTCAAAAAGATGTGACGGTTGAACCCATGGCAGTTTCCGAGTAGTTTGGTCTCTTTGGCTCAGAAATGGAAAGCTTTTTTTCCCTCTCTCTCTCTTTTCCAGAGTCACCTGCAGCAACATTTGGCCAGGACAATTCTTCTAGTTTTGCCACCTTTGAGGTTCCCAACAGCCTCGGACCCAATTTTAACCTCTCCTTTTTTATCCGGACACGGAAGGCCAGTGGCTTCATCTTCCAGATCAGCAATGGAAGCGATGTTTTCCTTACAGTCTACCTGAAGGACGGGAAGCTCCGGATCGAGTCACCGTCGGCTGCTTCAGTGGGGCCTCCTGGAAATCTGGCCGATGGCACCAGACACTTTGTGGTGCTGTCCTTCCGCGAAGGCTTTGCTTGGGCCAGCCTCCTAAACAGAGAAGAAGAATTGCTGGGAGATCTGGCCGTCACCTTTCTGGCCGCTAATTTTGAGATCCACGTGGGTGGGCTCCCCCACCAAGAAAACCTGGAGTCTTGGGGAGGCCCTTTCAAAGGCTGCCTGCAGGATATCCAACTCAATCACCGCCAGATGCAGTTTTTCCCTCCTCCAGATAACGGAAGCCTTCCACAAAACGTGTACGTGGGGCGAAACCAGAACGTTGTTCCAGAATGCCTCTCAGATAATGCCTGCAAGGTAAGGACCAGGCTGAAGCGGGGCCCAGACGTACCCAGATGTGGGGAAAATGTGGGGAAAACATCTCTATGGGTGGGATGAAATGATGCACTGGGTGTCAGGATTCCGGCAGTTACCCCCATTTAAATCATAAGTCTCGAGACAAACTTCCAAAACTTGGGCATTAACATGTCCGTCACGGCCTGGGTGTAGCCAACTCTGAGACACATAATTCATTGTCACTCTTGACCCTGGTTTCCCCCCTACTTCTCTGGGTGTACTTCTCCTAATTCATATTCTCCAATGGGACACATCCATAGCCCAGAGTCATCGATCATGCTCTCCAGTTAGAATTTTGCACGGCGGAAACTTCAGTCACCTAGTTACTATCTTTGAAAACATTTGTGGAATGCACTTTCAGTTTGCAAGCTGCCGCACTGCTCCCCCCTGGCCCTTTCTATTGGCAACTCTAAAAAGACCATAGAAATATCTTTATGAGTTGGCAGTGGGTGGACCAGTGGCCAGTTATACTTGCAGCCTTATACTCTGAGAGATTGTTAAATTGTGGGGGGGACATCAAACAGTTGATGATTATGGGCAAAACAAGAGCTGAGCAGAACACCTCTTGCTAAGCCTCACCTGGTGGCATGACTCCCGTGGACAAGACTGTGGCAACCCAATTTGTCAGAAGAAAGTGTTGTGTTGCGCAGTGGCTAACACGGTCATGCTGAAGCGCTTCCGCAGATGCAATTTAGGAAGCCTCTGGGGATGGGGGTGGCAGATTCTGCTATAATCTAGTTTGGAGAATAGCCTAAGATGAGAGTGATGAGCCTAGCTTAGATGCTCCAAGAGATATAGCCTTTCCTTGCTGTGTTCTTACTTCTCATGCGGCCAGAAGGAGAAAGATCTGGAGAACAAGACTAAGGAAAGCCAGCAAGGTGAGGTATGGATCTTCTCTTTATCTTCCACATGTCCATTCATGTCCCCAAGCTGTGATTATATGGGAAAAAAAAATAAACATCTCCAGCTGCAAGGAAGCACCTTCTCCGCATGCCTTGTGGTCCTTCAGCCTTGCCATGGGTTGGATCTATGGGACTAGAGTGGCATTTCTCAACCTTGGCAGAATTCTGTTGAAGTCCACCATGTGGACAAGGCTGAGAAACACTGAACTAGAGGCACCAAGGAAGGGGAATTATAATGGTTGAGGTTTCTGAATTCTATTACACATTGGATCATCCCTGATTGGAACACCTCAGGTTGAGTCCAACCCTCCCACCTCATTCAATAATCAATCAGACCTCACCCAACATGCAACATCTTTGGCTGGAAGGCTACTGTTCAAAGACTGCAAGTCTTGGGGAGAAAAGGAGCATGCAAGCGTGGTGTCTCACCAATGTTCAATTTTTGTGTGCGGCACAGAGGAATCAAAAGAGAGAGTGTGCGGTGGGCTACAGGTGGAGCTCTCGCTTCAAAATCAGGAGGCTGTGAGTTCAATCCTAGGTAGAAGCTGTTATATTTTTCTCTCTCTGGGCACAATGAGAATATATCTGCTGAACAAAACTCCGCACTGGCAACAGGGAAGGGCATCCGGCCAGTAAACACTCAACTCCATTCAGCTGCCCCAACTCCACCCCGCAAGGGATTACAGGGTCATTAAACTATGACAGAGGAATCAAAAGAGAGAAAACTGGATAGTTGCAGGTGGTGGATAGGTACAAATAAGAAATTAAATCTGGGTGTACCAAGAAGTACAAAGAAGACGTAGAAATGCAATTATACCCATATTCCATATCCACTACCAGCTACAGAACCCAGCTTTCTTGATCATTTAACCCAGGGCTCTCCAACTTGACAACTTTATGACTAGTGGACTTCAACTCCCAGAATTCTTCATCCAGTACGAGGAATTTTGGGGATTGAAGTCTACAAAGCGTAACATTGCCAAGGTTGGAGCCCTTGTAGGCTCCATTTCATTTCCAGGCGAGAAAATCTTTTCTCCTGACCATGTTTCTTCTATCTTTCAGTCTTCACCTTGCCTCAACGGTGGACTCTGTTCCGTCACCTGGAATGATTTTAACTGCAGTTGCCCCTCCAACTTCACAGGAAAATGTTGTGAGGAGAAAGTCTGGTGCCAAAGTGATCTGTGTCCTCCATCTACCGCTTGTGTGGATGTCGCCTCTGGTTACGTTTGTAAGTGTTCTTCCTCCAGGAATCGTAGACAACTGCAGAAGCGTCCTTTTTTTTTCTTTTAACAGTGTCACACAGGATCCGGAGACCTTTTCCTTCGGCTCTCAACCGACTACAAATCTGTGGTAGATCCCATTACGGAATCAGCCTGCTAATTCTTTTAAAAACATGGCTTGAAGTATTAGATAGTTTCTAATCCAAGTCATGGGGTCATGCCACAAATCCTGAACGTTCTTCTTTGTAAGCCTCTGTACGCTCCGTTTTCCATTCCTGGAAGTTTAAATTAAATTTAAACAAGAGTTTTCCCACCTCCCTCTGAAAAGAAGCTCAAGAGATAGGATTCATGATGTCTACTTGTTTAGTTCTCAGTTTTAGCTTCGAGGAATTTTCATTTTGTTATGACTTCTGTTTCCTCTGAATGTGAAAAGGGTGTTTTTTTTCCAGGAGGCAACTGGACTTTCTTTCTTTTCTTTCCTTTTGAAGACATTTCGCTTCTCATCGAAGAAGCTTCCTCAGCTCGGAGTGGATGGTGGGGAATGGGAGGATTTATACCAGAGGTGGTATTCAACAGTATTCTGGAGAACCCGTAGTGGAAATTTTGAGTAGTTCGGAGAACCGGCAAATGCCACCTCTGACTGGAGATTTTACAGTATCCCTTCCCCTGTCACGCCCACCAAGTCACGCCCACAGAAATGGTAGTAAAAAATGTGAATCCCACCACTGATTTATACTCCTTGCAGGCAGCTGGTCATTTGCATCCCTTTAGAGGGTTGTTGAGGCCACTTGGAGGTTTATCTGTGTCCTCACCACCTGAATAGTGCTCCTGATTCCTGTAGTCTGCAATTTTTCCTCTGGATATACCGCCAAATGCTTCAGTGACCCTCCAAAACAGGGGTGTCAAACTCCTGGCATCACGGCGTCATCACATGACATATTGGGACTTTTTCCCCCTTCGCTAAAATGGGCGTGGGCGGGGCCAGCACCTGACGCATCCAGCCCACGGGCCAGGAGTTTGACAGCCCTGCTCTCAAAGGATGCAAACGACCAGCTGTCTGCAAGGAGCATAAATCCTTCCATTCCCCACCATCATCCAGTCAGAGTTGAAGAAGCTTCTTGGATGAGAAGCGAAACGTCTTCAAAGAAAAATCAGAAAGTCCAGGTTCCTCTTGAAAAAGCACCTTTGGGTACACAAGCATGACCTGGAGGACTGAGAATCTCTAGGGCCAGGATGGCGTACCTATGGCACGCATGTCACAGGTGGCACGCAGAGCCTTTTGTGCCAGCACGTGAGCTGTAGGCAAATTTACCTCACTGCGCATATGCACAACTCACAGCTGATTTTCAGCCTCCCAAAGGCTTGAGGAAGGCTTCTGTGGGCTTCTACAAGCTTTGTAGGCCGAAATCCAGCCCTGTTTCGTCACTTCCGGTATTTTCGTAAAAAACAGGAAGTGATGAAACGGGGCTAGATTTCGGCCTACGAAGCTTGTAGAAGCCTGCAGAAGCCTTCCTCAAGCCTTTGGGAGGCCAAAAAAGGCCTCAAACCAGGCAAAAATCAGCTGTGAGGTGCAGTGCAGGTAAGGGGGTGGCGGGGTGGGGTGGGGAGGTGGGGGATTGCACGCGCATGTGTAGGGGACATGGGGGGGAGTGTGCATTGCCTTCTGGGTGCTGGCACGCGAGCGTGAGCGTGCAAGCGCGCACACAATTTTTGGCACAGGAGACCAAAAAGGTTAGCCGCCACCACTGCTCTAGGGACTTTCCTCTGTTTGATTTCTCTTCTCAATGAAATCTGTTTATATATCTAGGTCAGCTGAGTATTTTGCGCCTTAGAATGGTCTTTGACTTGAGTGTTCATCTTCCTTGAACTTTCTGTAGAGGTGCTCCTTGGTGTCTCCACTGGGCAGTCCTTCCCCTCGCGACTTTTGATTACCATGTCATCCTGCAGGTCTGGCCAATGCCACATTTGAGGAGCAGGATGCAGTTGAATTCACAGCAAATACATCCGTCACCAGAGCTCTTCACAGCCTCCGCCTGGACTTCAGAACGCGGGATGATGACGCTGTCTTGATGCAAGCCGTGGAGGAAGTGGATTCTCTTCTGGTGGCTATTCAAAACTCTTCGCTCCTGGTTGAAATCCGGAGTGGGAATGGAGTCGAGGGAGCCAACCTTCTCAGGCCCACACCCATCTCTGATGGCTCATGGCACACCCTCTTGTTGACCATGGAAGAGCCCTCGGCCTATTCGTCAAGGTGGCACCTCCAACTGGATGATTCCACCAATACAACCCTCCTGGGAAATGCGGGCAACCTGGATTTCTTAAAAAGCAACACATTTATTGTCTTGGCTGAAAACTTCACGGGTTGCCTCGGTCATGTAGACATCGGGGGGCTGCTTTTGCCCCTGGCCAGCCACCCTCTTTACCCACAGCCGGAACAATTCGTTCAAGTGTCCAGCAGGCCCCTCCTTCTGGGCTGCCGGGGTGAAGACGTCTGTTCTTCCAATCCGTGTCACCACAAAGGCTCCTGCTTGGACCTCTTCAATGCCTTCAGTTGTGCCTGCCAGCCTGGGTGGGAAGGGCCGCTGTGTGAGACCAACACGGACGACTGCAAATCCAGCCCGTGTCTTCACGGCGAGTGCAAAGACCTGGTGGGAGACTTCCAGTGTGTCTGTCGTAAGGGCTTCATTGGGAAACGTTGCCATATCAACGTAGATGACTGCGTGAGGCACCAGTGCCAGAACGGAGGGATCTGTGTGGACGACGTCTACAGCTACTCCTGCAAATGCCCGCCAGAATACTCCGGCCCCCTCTGCGAGTAAGTCTCTAGGAAGTCTGGCAAGAATGAGAATTCTGGAGATTTATTTATTTTTCCTTGCTCTTTCTTGGAGTTGGGGCACAAGGTGGGAGCTGTGTTGCTGGGAGTTTGCAGGGGTTCAGGAGAGCCCCTAGATAAGATTCGGTGCGGTTTGAAGAACCCCCAAATCCCACTCCTGGCTGGCCCCGCCCACCCCTCCCAGGAGTCTCCACATGGCCCGTTTTGGATGCAGGTAAGTGCATTCAAAGGCCTCCTGGAAGTTCGGGAAGGCCGGAAATGGGCCCGTTTCTGGCTTCTAGAGAGCCTCTGGAGCCCAGGGAGGCTGTTTCCACCCTCCCGGAGGCTCGGACAAAGCATCTGGAGCCCAGGGAGGGTAAAAATATCTCCCCCACCATGGTGCAGGAGGCCGACTAGGCCACGCCCACCACGCCACCCAGCAACCAGGCAGAGAACCCGTTGCTAAAATTTTTGAACCCCACCCCACGAACAGTTGCAGGAACTAGGCCTGGCTAGTCTAGTGAAGAGAAGGACCAGGGGAGACATGGTAGCCATCTTCCAATATTTGAGGGGCTGCCCCAGAGAGGAGGAGGAAGGGGTCAAGCTATTTTCCAAAGCACCTGAAGGTCAGACAAAGAATAATGAATGGAAACTGAACAAGGAGAGATTCAACCTAGAAATGAGGAGAAATTTTCGGACAGTGAGAACCATCAACCAAACGGAACAGAAGTTGCCTTCGGAAGTTGTGGGAGCTTACTCCCTGGAGGTTTTTAAGAAGAGGCTGGACTTCCGTCTGTCAGAAATGGTGTAGGGTCTCCTGCTGGGGTGGAAGGTTGAACTAGATGACCTACAAGGCCCCTTCCAACCCTGTTAATCTGTAAGTAAGAAGTTCTTAAGAACTGAAGAAGCTTCTTGGGTGAGAAGTGAAATGTTTACAAGGGGGAAAAAAAAACAACAAGGCAGTCTAGTTGGCTTTGGGAAGAAGCACCTTTGGAACAACCATGACCTGGATGATTGAGAATCCCATAAACATTTTTCCAACCAGACCATCTACTGTTATCTCAGTCCTAACTTCCAAACAGTGCAGGAGGACAATCACCAAACCATCTGCTGTCATCTCAACCTCCAAACAGGAGGACCACCTCTTTGCTGACCAAGTAGATCAGTGGGACAGCAGAAGCAAGGAGAGTGAGACACACACAGAAACTTGGCCTACACACAAGATTGCTGGCTACCATTTGAAAACCTGGGTTTGCTCTGCGGAAGGCGTCTTTGAATGGCAATAACTTTTTGCACATTCAAAGAGGCGGCAAGACTCGTGGTAGCTGGTGATGGGAAAGTTCTCTGCCCACAAAAGAGGTCATATGGGCGAGAGGGATGAACCCAATTCAGGAGCTTCTACCCTGTTTCCCTGAAAATAAGACCCAATTGGAAAATATGCCCTATCATGATTTTTTCCAGGGTGCTCGTAATAAAAACCCTACCCCTTAAAATAAGCCCCAGTTAAGATTGTCAGCCAGATGGATGCATTTACAGCTATTTCCCTGAAAATAAGACCTAACCGGGAAATAAGCCCTAATGCATCTTTTGTAGCAAAAATTAATATAAGACCTGGTCTTATTTTAGGAGAAACGTGGTAGCTTTCTTCTGGAGTTCTCCAGCAGGACCTTCTCTTTAGTCTTTTAGCTCCTTTCCATTAGTAGCTGTTGGCATTAGAAGACCTGACCAGGCTACGACCACCAGCCAGGGTAAAACCAATTGTCCCATGGCTCACCGAAGAGTCTTCTGCACGAAGCCATTTCCTGAAGTCCTTGAGAAGTTCCATTCCTTCTCCTCTCTCCCATTATCAGACTAAAAGTCTGCAGAAGCAACTTGGTAGCCAACTTTTTTAAAGAATGCCTACAGATGTCTAGTTTCTAAATCAAGATTCTTCTCCCTCTTTCTTTTCTCTTTTCTTGTTTTAAATTCCCAGGTGGCCCTTTCCTCCTGAACAATGTGGCAAGAACTTCACCTGTTTGAACGGTGGCCAATGCATGAGCGGCCCCTGGGGAGCCAACTGCAGCTGCAAGACTGGCTACACGGGCGTGAAGTACGATGACGGTTTGGACTCTACACCTTTCCAGGATTAAAGGGAAATCTGTCAGGATTCTGGCCATTACCCCATTTAAATCACGAGTCTCGAGCCAGACTTCCAAAACTTCAAAATTTAGATTCAGGTTGATTGGGAGTTAACATGTCCGGCACTGCCTGGGTGTAGCCAACTCTGAGACACATCATTCACTGTCATCCTTGACCCTGGTTTTTCCCCCACCCCCCGGGTGTATCCTAATTCATATTCTCCAATGGGACACCTCCATAGCCCAGAGTCATTGATCATGCTCTCCAGTTAGAATTTTGCAAGGCAGAAACTTCAGTCACCTAGTTACTATCTTTGAAAACATTCATGGAATGCACTTTCGGTTTGCAAGCTGCTCCACTGCTCCTCCCTCCCTTTCTGTTGGCAACTCTGAAAGACCATAGAATTAATTTATGAGTTGACATTCGGCTCCCCTCACTTCTTGAAGGTGACCTGTACAACACAAAAGGAAAACCCCATTTAAAAACCCTGTTTTGCCTCTTTGATCTTCACCCCATTCCTCGTTTCTATAAGGCCATGACTGATTCCTACCTCACTTTATTTCCAGGTGCCAGATCAACATCAGTGACTGTGACCCCAACCCCTGCAAAAACGGGGGGACGTGTCAGCACTCCACGAATCATTTCTGGTGTATCTGCAGTGCCAACTACGCTGGAGAATATTGTGATGTCAGTGTAAGCAAGATTCTCTCTTTTCTTTTTTTTCCAGAATAATGGGTTGGTTGCCCCCCCCCCCTACGCTTGACTCAGAAGAGGAGTTCAAATCTTTTCCAAGATTAAACCAGGAAGGTTGTAATTTGTTCCCCCTCACTCTGTTTTATATCTATATATAAAAAAGCGAAATACCACTCACGCATCATCACAAAATCTCCAGAACCATAACGCCTACAAACTTGAAATTTGGCACATATCTTCCTCTTGGCTTCTAGGGGCTCACTAAGAAAGGATTTTTTGAAACAACTATCAGAGCATTCGTATTTTGTTATATTATTATTATTAACACGCTCTGATGCTAAGGAGTTCTACTCCCCCTCTCTACTTGAAAAAAAATATGTTTCAAATGCAAAACACAAGCAAAGGAGGAGTTTGAGTTTCAGAGCACCAAGCAGCATTAGTACAGAACAGTTGAGCTAAGCCACGCCCAGGCTCCTTGCTGTTTACTTCTTGCTCACACAGCAAATACTGTTTCAATTTCCAAACAGCCCTCCACTCTCTCACACACTGACAGGATGCTAGCCAGATGAATACTGATGGATGCTGGTAGGCAGAGGCAGATTCCCCCGCCCCGCATTTTCCTCCCCAAAAACTAAGCCGGACCACATCGTTTTGTAGCGAAACACAGGTATTGAAGTAGTCTGTTATAAAACCCTCTCAATGCTTGGATGGAGGAACGTCAACTTTTCACCCAACATTGATGACATAGACAAGTTCTTGGCCTACCATCGAAACTCAGTGTGGTAAAGGTAGCCCTTGACTTACGACCACAATTGAGCTCCAAATTTCTGTTGCTAAGTGAGACACTCGTTAAGTGAGGTTTGCCCCGCTTTCTGACCACCGTTGATAAGTTAGTAACACAATTGTTCAGTGAATCTGGCTTCTTTATTGACTTGGGTGTCCTGACCCAAACCTTGTTCCAAGGGAACAAACACCAAACCGAGGTAACAGCAAAACCTTTTAATGATTCTTTATGAATTCCATTCCTTCACGGAACGAGCCTTGCCAAGGTTGTGCAGGGCTGCCAAGAACACTAGATAAAGTTGCCAAGAACTATTTCAAATACAAAGAGTCTCCAAACACAAACTAAAAGAGTCTGAACGTCCACAAGACTTGAGTGCAAAAACTTCTTTGCTTCCTGCAAAGAACTCTGGTTTCTCAGCTGGCTTTTATCCCTTAAGGGAGGGGCCACTACCTTGCAGCCTTACTCCCGAGTCGCCTGTGTTGCTGCAGTTGCTCTTTCTTTTGAGCAGCCCTGTGCACACTTGGCACAGGCTCCTCGGGGGCCTCTTCCTCACTGCTGCCAGCCTCCACCATCTCCAAAGGCAGCACTCCACTCCCTGATGGTCCTGGCCCCATCCCTGCATCCCACGCAGGCCCCTCATCCGAGTCCTCACATTCCGAGACCTCAGCCGTCCACACCTGCTGCCGGTGAACCACAACGCTTGACTTGTCAGGAGGTTGCAAAAGGGGATCACGTGGAACACTGCGACCGTCATAAATATGAACCAGTTGCCAAGCATCTAGGATACTGCACTGGTCATAAGTCACTTTTTTCTCAGTGCTATTGTAACTTTGAATTGTCACTAAATGAAGTGTCGTTTAAGTTCTGCCGGCAAGTTTCCTGCTGGAAGCTTGGTTGTTATGTCTCACCTGTGTCAACGAGGTGAGAAGTCCAAATTTCCAAATGAATATAAACAAGCAAACAAGTCCAGTAATGACAGGGTTAAATTCCTTGAGCCGGGAAAGTTCTTGGCAGTCTCACACAAGCTGTCTGCCAAGTCCGACAATAAAGCAAGAACATAAATCACAAGCTATCACCACACACAGAATCTTTCGAAGCTTCTCTCACAAATTAACACGTTGTCCCGAACAAGTTCTCAGAGCGAACACACCCACTTTTATTCCCTGTGGGGCGTGTCAGTCCCTCACCTCAGTCTCTGATTCGTCCTTTCTTTTTACGTTGCAACTTACACTTTTGCCTACGCCGTTGCCTCGCATCAAGCCAGCATTCCTCAGCTTGATCCTCAGTCAGAGGCTCTGATACGCTCTCCTGATTATCTGCCGACACCTGAGGCACAATCAGGGAGGAAGGTCCTGCCGAGGAGGAAAGTCCTGGGGAGGAAGGCAATTCCAAATCCTCTAACAAAGCAGGCTCAAACAAACCTCAGAGCCAAATCCTCCTCTTCCTCATTGTCCAAGTCCTCGACCTCTGACAAAGCAGGCTCAAACCTCCGAGCCACAACACTTGGTGGTCTTCAACATATTTTACGGAGGTCCAGGGCAAAGGGGGTTTGAAAGATTAGGGGCCAAGGAATGTGGGAAGATCCGGAAGGAGTGGTGGAGGAGAGACGAAAACACGCACAGGGCCATTTTCCAAGCTGGTGGACCGAGCCCATGCCCCAAAAGAATCCTTAACGCAACGATCCCAGATCCATGTTGCTTGTTTTGATGTAGACCTCAAAACCCACTTCTTATCTACTTAAGACTTCTCCCTGCCCTGGTTTCTATCCGAGTGTTGCTAGGCTGTCAGGCGTCTCCACCGTTGAGATCACAACCTGGTATTTTTAGCACGGCTTACACCGACCCTCACGTGGCTTGGTGAGGAAGCTGGGCTGGTTGGGGAGAGAGAGACAGCTTCTGCAGGTGGAGGATGTACTTTGAGACGATCAGACAAGGAACAAGGGATGGAAACGGATCCAGGAGAGATTCAACCTGGAAATAAGGAGGGATTTTCTGACAGGGAGAGCAACCAACCGATGGAACAGAAGTTGCCTTTGGAAGTTGTGGGAGCTTCATCTCTGGAGGCTTCCAAGAAGAAACAGGACTGCCATTTTGTCAGAAATGGTGTAGGGTCGCCTGCCTGGGTGGGGAGGGGGTTGGACTAGATGACCTACAAGGTCCCTTCCAACTCTACTCTGATTGATTCAACCTAGAAATAAGGAGGAATTTCCTGACAGAGCAACCAACCGATGGAACCGAAGTTGCCTTCGGAAGTTGTGGGAGCTTCATTCCTGGAGGCTTTCAAGAGGCTGGATTGCTGTCTGTCAGAAATTGGCACGGGGTCTCCTTCTTGGGTGGAGGGGATGGGGGATTAGATCAGGGGTCTCCAACCTTAGCAACTTTTAAGATGTGTGGACTTCAAATTCTGGGAGTTGAAGTCCACACGTCTTAAAAGTTGCCAAGGTTGGAGGAGCCCTGGACTAGAGGATCTCCGAGGTACCTTCCGACTCCGTCGAAAGGTATCTAAGTCGAGGAGGGGTTCGTGGCACAGAACTGGGATGACTCCAGGGGGTTGGTAGTGATGTGAACTGGCAAAATTGCCTCTCCGAGTTGCTAACTTTCTTCCTGCTCCCCTTTCCTTAGTTCGGACTTTCCAACTTCTACAGCGGAGTTCCACAACCTCTTCCAGGTTGGCGCCACCGGAGCGAGGGGTGTGTGTGTGTAGGCAGCAAAGAGGGGATGGGTTTTTTTTGTGGGGGGCGGGGGGAAGGCAAGCACCTGTTACTCACCAGAGTGGGGCCACAAATAGGACCACAGGTTGGGGAACCCCTGATCTGCAGCAGGCGAAGGTACAATTGTATTACCTTTGTGGCTTTCAGTGGTAGATGAATTCTCTTTATAAGTATTGATACTTCTCTAGGGCCAGGAGGGTACATTGGGTTGGATTTAGCTTTACAATAATCCTCAATTTCCAACAGTTCATTTAGTGACTGTTCAAAGTTACTGTCAACCCATAAAAATATTTCTATGGTCTTTTTAAAGTTGCCAACAGAAAGGGAGGGGGGAGCAGTGCGGCAGCTTGCAAACCGAAAGTGCATTCCATAAATGTTTTCAAAGATAGTAACTAGGTGACTGAAGTTTCTGCCAAGAGAAGCATGATCTGGAGAGTATGATTGTTTACTCTGGGCTAGGGAGGTGTCCCATTGGAGAATATGAATTACGATACACCCAGGGGGGTGGGGGAAAAACCAGGGTCAAGGGTGACAATGAATGATGTGTCTCAGTCAGCTACACCCAGGCAGTGCCGGACATGGTAACTCCCAATAAATCCTTTTGAAGTTTTGGAAGTTTGGCTCGAGACTCATGATTTAAATATTGGAGAACTGCCGCAATCCTGACATTAGCTTTACAATAATTCTCAATTTGCAACAGGTCATTTCGTGACCGTTCAAAGTTACAACATTGCTGAAAAAAAAAGTGACTTATGACTGTATGACCGATCCAGGTGCTCAGTAGCCGGTTCGTATTTGCGACGGTCGTCGTGTCCCGGGAGTCCCGTGATCCCCTTTTGTTACCTTCTGACAAGCCAACGGGGGAAGCTTGATTCACTTCACAACCGGGTTACTTGCTTAACGACTGCAGTAATTCACTTGAGAACTGCGGCGAGAAAGGTGGCCAAATGGGGCGACGTTCGCTTGGACAACAGCTTTGTCGTTTAGCCATGGAAATTTAGGTGTGCAATGGTGGCCATACGCTTGTATCTATTTACTGACTTTATTTTCTGCCCACCTTGTAACAAAATGACTCTTGGATAGCTTAGTTTTGTCTTACAAGGGCGACTTGTGGACGACTCCTGTGTTGGTTTATCTGGGGAGGGGGGGCCACATGGGACTGGTTCAGCAACTGGTTCTCTGCCTGGTTGCTGGGTGGGTGTGGCCTAGTCGGCCTCCTGCACTACTGGGGGGCATCATTTTCGCCTTCCCCAGGCTGCGGAGGCTTTTCCCGAGCCTCTGGGAGGGCGAAAACGGCCGTTTCCTGCCTTCCAGAGCCTTGGGATGCCCGTTTAGTTTAGTTTACTTTATTGTCATTGCACATCGTACAATGAAATTAAATACCATCTGCAGTGTACTATACAGTAGAATTCCATAGTTACTGCCCTGGGGTGGAAGCTGTTTTCCAGCCTATTTGTCTTTGTTTTTGTTATTGTCCTGTACCGTCTGCCAGATGGTCATAGTTAAAAAAAAGGGGGTTCCCAAGATGAGATGGATCTTTGAGAAAGTTTTGAACTTTCTTAAGGCAGCAGGAGCTATAAAGCTCTTCCAAAGAGGGGAGAAGGCAACCCATGATCCTCTGGGCAATGGCATTCACGCTCTGGAGTGCTTTCCTATCTGCCACTGTTCAAGAGGCAAACCATCCACAGGGACAGTAAGTTAAGATACTCTCTATGGTGCAGCGATAGAAGGTCACCAGCAGTTTTCCATTCAGTTGTTTCCTGAGAAGTCTCAGGTAGTATAATCTCTGCTGGGCCCTTTTGACCAGGGCTGCAATGTGAGCACCCAGGTCAGGTCCTCTTTTAGGGTAACACCCAGAAACTTAAAACTGGCCTCTTGCTCCACTCAGTCTCCCTTGCTAAACAAGAGTTGGATGTCTGATCTGTTCCTTCTATTATAGTCCACTATCTGCTCCTTGGTCTTATTGGTGTTGAGGACCAAGTTATTGTCTCCACACCACAAAAGCAACTGGTCCACCTCATCTCGGTAGGCAGACTCATCCCCCCTAGAGATGAGTCCCACCACTGCTGTATCCTCTGCAAATTTAGTAATATTATTAGTTGTGTGAGTGGGAATGCAGTCATGCACCTAAAGACAGGTGGCATTCAGCAGATTCTGACCAGTTCTGGAGAACCGGTAATGGAAATTTTGAGTAGTTCGGAGAACTGGCCAGTCCCGCCTCTGACTGGAGATTTTACAGTATCCTTCCCCTGCCACGCCCACCAAGCCACATCCACAGAACCGGTAATAAAAATGTTTGAATCCCACCACTGCTCCACACCATGAAAGCAACTGGTCCATCGCATCTCGGTAGGCAGATTCGTCTCCCCTGGAGTTTTTTTTGCATGGGCCCTGCTCTTAACCTGGCATCCAAACGGGCCACGTGGGGACTCCTGGGAGGGTTGGGGTAAGTGGGGCCAGCCAGGGGTGGGATTTGCCGGTTCACCGAACCAGCGAACTGGTAGCAGCCCATCCCTCCCCTTGCTCTCCCCTTCAAGGACAACTGAGCGGCATTTATCCAGACTCATCTTCTCTTTCTTGATTTCTCCGGCAGAGAGGAAGCCTCCCAGGCCCTGCCTTCCCCTTCCCCTTGGTCGAAGTGGCCGTGCCGGTCGTCTGCAGCTGCCTGTTCCTTCTCATCATCATCCTCGTCCTGATGATTCTCACCGCCAGGAAGAGGCGCCAGTCCGAGGGAACCTACAGCCCGAGCCAGCAGGAAGTGGCCGGAGCTCGCCTGGAGATGGACAGCGTCCTCAAAGTCCCACCAGAAGAACGTTTAATATGAGCATCGAGGAGTTCATAAAGTTGGCTCTTGGGAGTGTGGGCAGAGTAGATCTTCTCCGCTCCCTGCAAAAGACAAGGACGGCAGGGAAGCGGCACGCCCATCGAGTGGTGGCCCACCTGTGCATCTGGGACCTTTGAGGACCTATCCACCTGCCTTGTGGGTTCCTCTCTGCCGGTGGCAGCAACTGGCTTCTCCATCTTACCACCTCTGCCCACTCCCATGCCTCGGAAGTGCTGTTCCCAACCCAACAAGCTGCCTTGGCCTGTTGCTGTGAGAAAGACGATAGCCCACAGATTTCTGAGCATTGACCAACCTACAAGAGAAGCAGCATGGAAGCCCTGCCTCTCTCCTCGGTGTGGTTTAAGGGTGACTCTCTTTGTGACAGCCTCCAGGGTGGATTACAAAGTGGTCATGTTGGGTTGGACGATTATGACGTTCTCACTGGCTCTACTTGTTTAAGAGGGTTGTGACGGCTCTAGTTTTTGGCATGGGAGGAAGGATTCGGAGGCCTCATTCCTAGAGGCAGGGATAGGACTTACTAAAGTATCAGGGCTGGCTAAAAAACTAGAAGCACGACAAAGACACAACAGCTGGGCAAATGCACCTCCTCACTTTTGACATTTGAAGCCTGTTGTTAGAGGGGTGCATTGCCTATAGGACTGCTCTAGGGGGACCTTGTTAATGGCGCTCCCTTATAAATGACCAAGTTATGGATGAGGCTCACAAGGAAAGTTTCAAATGCTGTTCCAAGCAGTCAAGGACATCTTGAGCTACCCTGGTGATCAGCCTGGGACCACATCAGCAGCTCCATGCTTCTTGGAGCAGTTGGAACTACTGAGCTGCGCCTCATCCCTTCGGACATCTCAGGTGTGGCCATAAACAGATGGACTACTGGAGAGGCCAAAAAGCGATGCCACCAGGAGACCATAGGGTGTATGAGCTGAGATACTGAAGGTCCACACTGCCTCTGCTGAGCTGAATGCCAGTTGATAGAGACGAGTTAGGTCCGAAAATCTCTGCCAATGTCTTCTGGGCCCTTCCCGCAGCCATGCCAGTTGGCCACAAGGTCAGAACATTCATCGGTCCTGTAGAAGAGGAGACGGCAACCTTAAACACTCAAAAGAGCCACAAAGGTCCTAACCGGAAGCCCCCCATTCGATTCTGGAGCCGACTGGAAGTCCGTTTCCCCCACAGTCTCCTCCTAGTACGGCGTCACCACAGCACAGGGCTGAAAGAGCCGCATGCGGCTCCAGAGCCACAGGTTGCCAATCCCTGTGTGTAGGACAACCCGCCATGGTTGAATGTAAACGAGCTGAGAGGATACGAAGTAAAAAGCACCCAGGACTCGGTGAAGTGTATTGTTTTGTGAAAAACTGAGCAGCTCATGCCTCGGAAACCAACACAAACTGCACACCGATCATTAGTCACACAGCAGCTGCGAGGCACAAGAGGGTGAACAACAAAAACTGCTTGACCCCAAGATCACACCACAAAAAGTCCAAAATGAACAAAGAACAAAACATTTATCTTAACATTATCCCTGTTGGAAGAGAGTCAAGTACCTACAATTTCTGTGACCCCCCTTTAAGCGTTCAGGTATAATACACCATCCTAAAGTGCCTTGTAAAAAAAATCACTTGAAACAGCATTAAACTTCACTTCACCCTTCAGTTATAATTTTTGATACACGTAGAAATGATTCCACTCCAAGAAGACTCCTTAAGAGCCGCCTTCTCCCAAGGAAAGTTCAGCTTTCTACGCTAAAATGTAGCAGGTAGAAGTTTAATTCTTGCTAACAAAGATTTCTGCTGTTTTAGTGTAGGCTGACATATTTAGCTCTTCCCTCTTTCCTCCTTGACGCATCCACAGGACGTCCAAGGAGCTATGGACAGATGTGGTGGCAACTCTGCTCTCTCTTCTCGTCCTCCAAGAAGCAACCCCAGGACCCTGGGTTGGAGAAAATACACCCTGTATTTTCATCCTGAAAATTCATCCTGTACAGTGAGCCAGACACTTGAATGTGTGACCAACTGTGGTTTACAACCATTGGCACTTGAGGGCCATGATGACGTAGAACAGTGAGAAATGTTTTCAGAAAACACTTCACACACCCCAAAATTTAAACCTGGCTTTGTCAGGGGAGGTGTGAATTCCTACAGATGGCTGCAAAAGGAGAACGCTGTTGGGTTCCTCCTTACAGATTTGTTACAGAATAAAGAGTGTGGGAAGGGACCTTGTAGGTCATCTAGTCCAACCCCTCCCGTCCAAGCAGGAGACCCTACACCATTTCTGAGAGAGATGGCAGTCCAATCTCTTCTTGAAAGCCTCCAGGGATGAAGCTCCCACAACTTCCGAAGGCAACTTGCAGAAAATGTGAACAAATAAAAATAAGAATCAGGACATCTATTTGTGGAAATGAACACCAGATACCTTTTTTTTTGCCCATTTCCTGCCACAAGGTAGCAGATTTTTCTCAGCACATCCGAAGATCTGGGAGACGTGTCTATCTATCCAACCTTTTTTTTTTCTCGTTCCCTCTGGAAACCCAAAGAGAGGCTCTGCACCAAAAGAGACGGTCAAATTCTGGCCAGGGACAACCAGGCCCTGCAAAGTTCTCCTGAGGAAAATCTTAAGGACAAACCTCCATCCCAGAATAAATATCTAACAGATGAACAGAGTTGGAAGGGACCTTGTAGGTCATCTAGTCCAACCTCCCACCCAAGCAGGAGGCCCTACACCATTTTTGACAAATGGCAGTCCAGTCTCTTCTTGAAAGTCTCAAGGGATGAAGCTCCCACAACTTCTGAAGGCAAAACTGTTCCATGGGTTGGTTGTTCTCCCTGTTGGGAAATTCCTCCTTATTTCCAGGTTGAATCTCTCCTTGTTCAGTTTCCATCCATTATTCCTTGTCTGGCCTTCAGGTGCTTTAGAAAGTAGCTTGACCCCTTCCTACACTACACTGATGTAGTGCTGTGAGACCATGGTTGGGACTATTTCAGAAGTCAAAAGGAAATTGTTTCCTCAAGAGGATAATGTGGTACCTCAACCCATATCTCAAGACATAGATGTACTTCCTTCCCTGAGTGTTAGCCGTAGTAATTACAATTCATCAAGAAAAAAACATAGCAACCGTAGGAAGTACCGGCTGTAAGATGTTCCCTCAAACTGATCTCTTCTCACCAGCCCACAAACGATTCCCTCCGTATTTATCTTTCTTCTCCCAAAGACAGGTCAAGACAGAACAAAGAAAAGTTAGGCCAACTTGTTGACCTTGTATCTTCCAAGGCTCCTGGCTCATTATTCCAGTATTTCTCCTTGAAGACCTCTAAGGTGACCATTGAGAAGGTGATTATCTCACAGTCTGGGTAAACGCAGACTAAGAAGCCTAACCAGGTCATGCCTCCCTAACTTTGAGGAAGAACAATCCTTCCCCAATGGCCAGCCAGCCAACGCATCAGCAAAAGTAGCTTGACCAACTTTCTTTGAAACCCCGTCGATGGAAAATTGATGGCAAGGAACCAAACTCAGCCGATCATCGTTGACTGGAGATCCTCCAGCCTCCCTTAGTAATGACCAAACCCTTCCAAAAGAGATCTATCTAGGACTACAAATTTCAAGGCATCAAAGACTTGTTGCAAATGTAGATGTGGGTTTGAGTCAGTCAGAATAGAGCTGGAAGGGACCTTGGAGGTCTTCTAGTCCAGCCCCCTGCTTCTGCTGCCTTGGAAAATATTTTTGAGTCTTCAGTTTTAGTCTTAGCGTTGACTTGACTCGTTCATCTGGACCCACAACTTCTGAAGGCAAGCCGTTCCGCTGGTTAACTGTGGAAAAGCTTGTGGGTCTGAGTCAGTCAGAATAGAGCTGGAAGGGACCTTGGAGGTCTTCTAGTCCAACCCCCTGCTCAAGCAGGAGATCCTATACCATTTCAGACAAGGGGCTGTCCAGTCTCTTCTGAAAGACCTCCAGTGATGGAGCTCCCACAACTTCTGGTGGCAAGCAGTTCCCCTGATTAATTGTCCTCACTGATAGGAAGTTTCTCCTCAATTCCAAGTTGATTCTCTCCTTGATTAGTTTCCATCCATTGTTTCTTGTTCTCTCTTCTGGTGCTTTGGAGAATAAGTTTGAGTCTCCAGTTTTAGACTTAGTTTTACCATCACTTGACTCGCTCATTTGGACCATGCGAGGCGCGGATACCTTGCATTAGACTTAACTCTGAGGAGTAGTCATAATGCCAAAGGGGTTCAGTTTAATTCCCTGTCACACCACACAAAATGTCTGCCCTCCTTCTCAGAAATAGTAGCCATTCTTCCCTCTACTTGCTCAAAGCCCCCTCAGATCCATCCCAAAAATGGGAAACTTTTCTGCCATTTAATTTATTTTTGTTTTCTAATGTGTGAACTTTTTTGATATTTAAATTTGGGGTTTATTTTTTCACAGAACTTTTGCCACAGACGAAGCATCTGTGGACGCAAATGTTAAGAAACCCAATCCTGGTCATTCCTGTAATTGTAATTAAAAATGTATACAGAAACTTTATCTGGGTTCTTTTAAATTCAAGCAGGTCCAGCTGATAAAATTGCTGAGGGACATCAACTGTCCAAGAGGCCCAAATGGAAGGTGGGCCAAAACTGCCTCATGAAAAAGGAGAAGGGGACTTATCAGAATACAGGTAGTCCTTGACTTATGACCAAAACTGAGGCCCAAATCTCTGTCGCTAAGTTGAGACATTCGTTAAATGAACCATTTTCTGACTTTTCTTGCCACCGTTATTAAGTGAATCGCTAAATTTGTTAAGTGAATAACCCAGTTGTTAAGGAAATCTGGCTTCCCCATCGCTGGTCAGAAGGTTGCAAAATGGGATCACCTGATCCCGGGATTCTATGACCGTCATAAATGTGAGTCAGTCCCCAAACATCTCAATTATGACCACGCGGCGGTCATAAGTGTGAGAAACAGTCATAAGTCAAATGCCTATGGAGATTCTCAGTCCTCCAGGCCATGGTTGCTTCGCTTCTCATCCAAGAAGCTTCTTCAGCTCTGACTGGATGGTGGGGAATGGAAGGATTTGCAGACAGTTGGTCATTTGCATCCTTTTAGAGGGTCGTTGAGGCCACTTGGAGGTTTATCTGTGTCCTCAGGGTCACCTGAGTGGTGCAAATGGATGTGTGGAGCCTTCTTGGAACTGTTGGAAGTGGCCTCAACAACTCTAAAAGGATGCAAAGGACCAGCTTAAAAGTCCCTTCTTTCAGTGCTGTTGCAACTTTAAACAGTCACTAAATGAACTATTGTTAAATCGAAGGCGACCTGTAGTTTATTTATCCAAAAGGATATAGTTGTTGTCGGTCATGAGGGACTTACCAGATACAATTTGCTTCTGATATCAAGGTAGATTCCAATGGGCGGAGTCTTCTTTCAGTTGCACCTGGCTTTCTCTCACCTGAACTGCTTTTCCAGAACAAGGTGTATCGATTGTTCTAAAATACGTGGGCCTAGGAGATTATGGGTTAGTCCAGGAAACAGCCTCCCAGGTTTAAATCTCTACCATATTCTAAAGCAGCAGAATCTTCACCCCCTATGTTCTAATTAACACCTTTGTGGAGAGAACGTGAGGTTGGACTGATCTTAACACCAGCCCAGCCCAGATGGTCAACCGCAGACACAGCCTGAAGATGGGTACTCTATTCCCACTCCATACCCCAAACTTTGAAGAAGCAAACCAACACTCCAGCCCGTTGGGTGGACTTGAAATATTTTACTATCCAGAAGTTAGGTAATATCAAAACCATATTCCTCCCCTCCCCCAGAAAAAAGTGATTGTACAAAACACAAAAAGGAGCTTTGTCCATGCAATGGTTTTGGGCAGAGGTGTTAAACGATGCCAAACAGAAGATCTACAGGCGGATGTCCCCCTTGGCAATCCATTTTTGGGAAGAATCCACCCTGTTCTTGGAATCTATAGGCTCAGGTGTGGAGAGGGAAGCCAAACCAACTTCTTCAGCTGGTAGGAAAACCTCAAAAGGGTGATCAGAGACGGAAGGGAAAGCAACCAAGATGGCGTTGAAGAGTGACTTCTCACGTTTCGTACACACAGTGAGTTCTTGTGGACATAAGACAATTTGGCTAGCCTAATTCCCACACGACAAGTGATTAAAATAACAACAAACTGCCCAGGTGTATTTTTAAACCCCCTCCCCCCCAAATTTAAGTGAGGAAAAGAAACAGAGGCAGGTGTACCAAGAAGTCCTGTAGCAGGTCTGAATTTTTGAAGCGTGGTGGACCATTCGTCTCCCAAAACATCCTAGAGGGAAAATCTGGGTCTTCGGCAGGAGTTGAGAGATAAAAGGTAGCAGGTAGAAGTCTTCTAGCTTTCAGGTGATGAAGACCAAAGCCAATTAGTCCACAACCAGGGGGGAAAGTCATTTTTAACAAATTATGTCTATCACCACCGTCCTACCAACACCACTGTCATCCCTGTTCCATCATGCAGCAGGTGGATGCTGCCATCCGTCAACACACCTTCCATACTACCATAGACCAGAGATGGTTCCCCCATCCTCCTCCCATCAGGCTGGGGAAGGAAGCCGCCGAGTAACACTTTTGTAACTATACATATACATGTTCATGGGACATCAACACAGTTAAGAGTTAGAGGAGGTCTTGGGGACACCACAATCGCATGTCGTTGCTCTAAAAAAAAAAAAAAAGGAACAACTGCTGGTAGTGCCAACCGGTGGATAGGTAGGAAGCGGCATGTCACCGCTTCCCTGAAAAGCGGGTGTGGTGCCACCGCGGGAATGTTAAACGGGTGGGGTGGGGTGGGGTGGGGTGGCTGAGCCAAGGGATGTTGTGTGCAGAGATTGGTGGGACTGGGAAGGGAGCTGGAGGACAACACGGGGCCTTGAGCCCACGCAGCTAAATGTATGTCGGAGAAGGTACCCCTCCCCCCCAAAAAATATATATATCTAAAAAGGTTCAGATCGTGATCAACGTGACTTGGGGTTGGGTTCAAAATGTCATCTGGTATGGAAGCAAGTGCTCACCTGGGCTTGTGACAGGCTCATAATTATGGGGAGGCAAGGCTGGCCAAGAAGAGACCAGGATTGATCTCATCAACTGTCTACTTATTTTGAGGAAAAGTGGAAGAACGTCAAGGAGCCCAATGACCTTGGTGGGCGAAAAGGTGAAGGGTGTGTGTGTGTCTCCTGGCTCCTATTCAAAGCTTAGCCAGGGCTTCCTCCTAATAGGGAGGAAGCTGTGCCAGCTGGTTGACCCTGCTTTACTTGGGGAAAGACTATATTGACCCAACACCCAGTAGTCTAGGACGTCGTGAGCTCATGGGACTCACTCGAATGTTTCCCACTGCCTTCTTAACTGCTCGACTTTACCGGGCGTGACGGACACTTCCTGCTTGGTTTTATTTAACAAATCTTCAAAGGGGTCTTTAGCCAGCTGAGTCTTCGAAGGACACAAGGCAGGTTCTCCAGCCTTGGTCTTGGGGGGAAGGAGCGGGAGGTTGCTGGGCCGCACCACCAGCCTCGCCTTGACCGCCGTGTGAGTAAGAGGCAATGTCCGGTTCTTAGAAGGGCCAGAGGGCTGCGTCGGTCGAAGGACGCCGCTCTGGGAAGGAGGCTGAGCCGGCGGTGGGGCGGAGGGAGACTTGGCAAAGAGGTTGGGCATGGAGAGGGTCAGAGGGTTGAGGGGAGGCCTCTGGGGCTGGAAGAAGCTGGAGTTGGACGTGATGTAACTGGAACTATACGCATGGCCCAACGAGGGACCAAAGGGGCCGCCCAGGGGCCTGACCAGGGTGAGTGGCGGAGGCATCGGCATGGTTTGTACGAAAGGGTTGAGAGACGGCGGCCCAAACGGCGTCACCGAGGGAGGGTATCCCAGCAGTTGACGGAACGGTGCTGATGTGGAGGGCATGAGGTCTTCCTCTGTGGATGGGAAGCTGCCGGCAGGGCTGGGAGATGAGGAACCCAGCTGGCTCCTGGAGCCGGATGGAAAGCGGGCATCCTGAGCTTCCCCTGACTTCAGCGGATCCAGAAGAGCAAGGAGAGAGTCGCTGTCTCCGCTCGTGCCCTCTGCGTTGACCTTGACTGGTTGGAGCAGTTTTCCTCCTTCAGGGATGGCAGCGGATGAAAGCTGGACTTGGGGAGGAGCAAAACCAGACGGCTGCCGGTCCAGAGAGACATTTCTGGCTGCAAAGGTTTCCTGCAGGAGCTCTGAGGCCAGGTGGCCAGGCTCTGCGGGGCAGGGGGCAGCTTCTGGGGGTGCCTGCTGCTTGGAAAGCCGGGGTGGAGGCGGCGGTGGGACGATGCCCAGCTCTGGCGTCTTCCTCCCCTGGGGTCGCGGGATGGTGATGTTCCCTTGGGCAGCGGGAGAACTTCCAACGTCCTTCTCGGGAAGGTCCAGAATGACATCTCTGCTGGGAGGCTTCCTTGGAACAGGGGGCACGATTCTCAGGGGTCTCTCGGGAGATTTGGGGGAGTATTTGGTGGAAAGGGCCATGTCATCATGGCCTAAGCCCCAGAACTGCTTATAAGGGTGGGAAAGCTTCATCCCTGGGGTGGTCCAGCTCTTTTCAACAAAACCAAGGTCCATCCGCTGTCAGAGAAGAGAGAAAATCATGAGGTGCCTCCCTCCAAACCCTCGGCTCTTCCTCTCCTTTTAAACGGACACCCCAGATCTGAGACCACCTCCCACTAGGACAGGGGTGTCAAACTGGATTTCTTTGAGGGCCAGATGAACATTGTAGTTCTCCGCGGGCTGGCAGGGAGGGGTGGAAGATGAGACGGACGGCTCCTGCCACACTCTACTAGCTGAGAACGGGCCCTGCATGGCCTGTTTTCAGCTGGCAGTACTGCTGGAGACTGAGGAGGCTGGAAACAGGCCTCGCGGGGCCTCCACACGGCCCGTTTTTGGCCGGCAGGGCTGCTGGAGGCCGTACAGGCCAAAAATGGGCCACGGGGTGGGGTGGGGTGTCACATGCGACTTCCCTGCAGCCTGTTTTGACTGGCAGAGGCCCTTCGGTATTTCCAGGCCAGCACCATGGGCCAGATTTAAGCACCCTGTGGGCTGGATGCGGCTCACAGGTCTTGAGTTCACACCCCTGCAGTAGGAGGAACCATCTTTCCTTTTGTGCCAACTGGGGGAAGGTGACTTTCCTCCCATTTCCTCAAAATCCACTTGGGGAAAGTGTTCCTGGAATTACCCTTAGGTTCTCCTTCTTCGGCTGGTCTCCTGCCCTATCAAGAGTTCAAGATTCCCCTTGTAAATTCTTCACCACTTCCAACCCCACCGCCGTAACTTATCTTGTCTATCTGGCTTCTCATCAGCAAATAACCAAATATACCCATCTCTAAATCCACCCCTACAGATAATTCTCAACTTACAGCTAGTGACAATGACCACTGAACATTAAGAAGGGCGTGGAACAAGTGTTTTACGGTAAACCGTAAAACATGGGTGCCTTGTCTTATGGTACCCACAACTTACAACCAGAAATCCTGTTCCAGTTATGGTTGGAAGTCAAAGACTCTCTGAACCAGCAACTCAGATGTTTTCAGACTTTCTCACCCACCCAAGTCCCATACCTGATAATCAAAGGAGCATTGTTGGTCTTCTTCCTCTTTGGAAATCCTCAGATCTTCCAAGCTCCTGGCTTGGCTGAGAGGCTGTGGTTGCGACGTCACCTCCAGTCCTGTAAAAATGTCTTCCAGAAGACTAATATCTGCGGGGCTTTCTGGAGTGGTTGGGTCAATCTGGCGGTCATCCTGGAACCTCTCAGGACTGATGCCTTCTTCTCCATCACCACTGTCGGATTCCTTCAGAGCGCGATATGGCTGAGGCCTGTCAGAAGGAACCACAATTGGTCGTTCAGGGATGGGATCCCTCTGGAGAAACCTACCAACCTCCCAATGGTCAGAGAAAGCCAGAAGGAGCTGATGGGTGTGTGATGAGTGACAACTCCACATTATCTCCCAGCTGGGAGGCTCTTAAGGACAGCCTGAAGCCTACAGAGATGTGGCCACAATATGCTCCGTTTGGCAAAGGCCACACACACATTAAGATTGAGGCAGGGGCTCTGTGGCTTACACCACAAAACTACACTAGTGTTTTGCTGGGGTTCTAAGTGCTTTCAACACAAAATAAGACACAGCCCAGCTCCAGATGGATGACATCAAGCATGCATTTCTCACAGCAATACCAATAAAACAAGGAGACATGAAGCCAAGGCCAAGAGAGAGGAACATCTTAGAAAGCATGAGACACCAGGACTCTGAAGACCCAGGAGGAGGCCCAAAGGATTCCTCTCTCCAATGTGCATAAAGTTAAGGATGTGACTAAAATGAAACATGGGTTTCCGGGATCCAAGATGACAACCTACCGAGCAAGAAAGTCATGCAGGTCCTCTGAAGGACCATGAGGAAACATCTTCCTTTGGCCCAGATGAGTCTGCACGCTGTCAGGGTTCCAACGGATGCCCTAATTAATTCATGAGCCTCGAGCCAAGTTTCAAAAGAAATCCAATTATTGATTAGGTTTATTTTATTATTGATTATTTCCCCAAGTGCAGTCTCTGCCCTACGTAATTTACTGCCCACCTAGGACCCTGTTTTCCCCTCTCTTCCCAGGGCGTGTCATAAATCACATTCTCCAACAGAGCACTTTCCTGGGCTGTAGAAAACACACCTCTCTGGCTGGGTCTGGTAACCTAGGACACAGTCTTGAGAAAGGTATGCCAGGAATGTGCTTCTGGTTATAGTAAACGAACTGCTCCATCAGATCTCCCCCAACCTTCTTATGGCAACTCAAGAGCAAGCCAGGAATGCTTTACGAGTTGACAGACACTGACTATCTATGGTGAATCTTGGATTCTTGAATCCTTAAGAAATCCACAACACTTAAAGCAATGCCTCCGACATGAAGGAACGCCATGGTCTGTTAGGAGGAAGACAGGACTGAGCAAGGAGCAAGGAGGGCTTCAAACACAGCAGTATTAGGAGATGGCAGTGCAAAGCAAACCCAATTCACACACCCCAATTCACACAATCTCCAGGGTGGTTTTTGACTGGCATTCAAAACAAGACTAGAGATGGAAGAAAACACCAAAAAGACATTAGAAAAGAGCTGGGCAGGAGCTTTGTCCATCTCTGGTTGCCTCAACTCATGGATGGTTTCATTAGCAGAGGACTGCTCCATGCTCTGTTTGAGGAGGCAATGTGGTTGGGATAATAATGAGTTTTTCAGCAGACAAAGCCTTCAGTCACACAATGGCTTGGATTCTCACATGCATTAGGCAGGGTGTCCTACCAGAACCAGGTGGGCATTGATACTCAAGAGTTTCCAATTCTCAGCTGTCACTTTTTTTTTTTCCTGGAGATGCTTCTAACCACCTTAGAGCAAGCCCCAATCCCGACTTCAACCTGACTGCCCTTCGACCAACCCTCCTCTCAAAGAGGGCTGGACTTCCTTCCATGCAGAGACGACAAGACTTGCTTTCTTCTCCCTTGGTCCTCCCCAGGCCTCTCCACCCCCTCATCCAGCTCCATGTGCCGGTGGCTTTCTGCTTGCAGCTGGCGATTCACCGTAAGGGTGCCAGGGATGGACAAGACAGTTGGACTGAGGCAGGAAAACCCAACGCCAAGGCAAGCCAGCAAATCTTGGCAGTTCTTGGCCAGAACCAGAATGTGTTTGCTTATAATATGTCGCCTTAATCATGTTAATAAATCTCTCCCCAGAGTCCATGTCTTTTAATTGTGTTAATATAAATTGGCCAGTTCACATTATCAAATGCTTTCTGTGCATCTAGGAAGACCAATGCCATTTGCTTCGTAATATTCCATTGCATTTAAAAATTATTCTCATATTATCTTTAATTTGTCTCTTAGGTAGGAAACCGTTTTGATCTAAACGGATAAATTGGTTTGGAAATCTTTTTAATCTTTCTGCAATTATCGAAGCAAATATTTTATAGTCAGCATTCCATAGCGAAATTGGTCTGTAATTTATTTTTTAATCAGTTGCAAATCTGTGTCTTCGCTTGGTATAAGAGTAACACCCTGTTTTCCTGAAAATACGACCTACCCTGAAAGTAAGTCCTAGCGTGATTTTTACATGTACATCCAATGTAAACCCCATCCCCCGAAATAAGCCCTAATTAAGATCCCAGAGTGCATGGATAAAAATTAAGCTAGGATGAGGATGGTGAGGGGGGTGGAGCTGCCCTACTACTTACCTTTGGACAGGTGTAGCCGGGCCTCGCACACCCTGACACCTGCCTTGCCGGCCCATTTCTTCTGCAGCCGGCTGGCTAGGCTTTCCTGAAGGCCTCTGGAGCTGATGACAAAACTCTGGATCGATCCTGAGCTCTCTTATCGGCTGCAGAGGCCTTCAGGAAAGCCTTGCCGGCTGCAGAAGAAGTTCTTGAAAGCCTCTAATAGCAAAAAGGAGGCTGGGGGTGACTCACGCAAGTGAGGTTAGTCAGTGGATAAAATCCCCCCCCCAAAATAAGACCTGGTGCCTTTTTTGAGTGGCAAAAATAAATAAATAAGACAGGGTCTTATTTTTAGGGAAACACAGTATATATGCCTCCATCCATGAGTTTGGTACTTTAGCTTCTGATAATAGATCATTAAATGCATCTAACATTGGAGTACTTAAGAGTATTTTGTAGGTCTTTGTATAGTTCTGCTGGTATTGGCTTGTCGCCGGGGGTATGCAGGGGTGGGCCGCTGGGGGCTGGAGGGGGTTTGGGAGACCCTCTGGCTAAGATTCTGTGCAGTTCGGAGAACCCCCAAATCCCACTCCTGGATGGCCCCGCCCACCCCTCCCCTCCCCGAAGTCCCCACGTGGCCCGTTTTGGATGCAGGTAAGTGCAAGACGTGGATGGAGGCTCAGGGAGGGCGAAAACGGGCACCCTGGAAGTTCGGGAAGGCTGGAAATGGGCTCGTTTCTGGCTTCCAGAGAGCCTCAGGAGCCCGGGGAGGCTGTTTTTGCCCGCCTGGAAGCTTGAGGAAAGCCTCCGGAGTCCGGGGAAGGTGAAAATGCCACACACACACACACCCGCCATGGTACAGGAGGCTGACAAGGCCACACCCACCCTAGGCACGCCCATCCAGCCACCGGGCAGAGAACCGCTTGCTAAAATTTTTGAAGCCCATCCCTGGCGGGTGTATATATCAAGCGGGGAACATGCGCGCACACAGACAGGACGCCCGCCACAGAAGCCGCTAAAGCAATGGAAAGGCTGATGGGTCCGCCAAGGCCTCCGATGCCAGGCGAGGAGGCAGAGCTAGCGAGAGCAATAGTCAAGGTAGACACCATTCAAAAGGAGCCGAGAAGAGAAAGCTGTCAGAGAAGGCAGAGGCCGGCCCGTCCTCCTGAGGAAGCTCATCGCCCGAGGAATCCTCCAACAGGAAGACCGTATAGTGGCGGGTGGGCTTGGCCAGGCTGAAGGAGACAGGGAAGAGGAGAGAGAGAGAAGAAAGGTTATAGATCGCCGGACCAAACCTGTGGAGGGAAAGGAAGCCAAACCAACAACGGACGCCAACATTCGAGGAGGAAGGGATTCCCTCGGCCTCGTGGGGACCTCTGAAGAAGGATGGAGCCCACTCTGGAGATCCTTCGGTGGCCCTGGGCTTTGACCTGAAGGACCTCTCGTCCGATTTGAGCGGATTTAACACAGTCGGAAGGGACCTTGTAGGTCATCTAGTCCAACCCAAGCAGAAGGCCCTACCCCATTTCTGACAAGATGGCAGTCCGGTTTCTTCTTGGCCTCCCAATGACAATGAGAAAACAACCAATCGATGGAACCGAAGTTGCCTTCGGAAGTTGTGGGAGCTTCATCCCTGGAGGCTTTCAAGAAGAGACGGGAAGGCCACCGGTCAGAAATTGGTGTAGGGCAGTGATGGCTAACCTTGTTGGCACCGAGTGCCCATAGCGTATGCGCACACGTCTCCAAAATGCAATATGTGCACGTCCGTGTATGCGCCCCATCCCCATGCATGGAACCTGCCCCCGCACATGCGTGCGCATCCCCATGCATGCGCATATCCCCCTGTGTATGCCCCCCACCCCCCCCATGCTCCATGCACGCACGGCAGAGTCCCAAAGTCCAGCTGGCTGGCGGGAGGGTCGCCTGCGCAACCAGAGCGGAGCTGGGCCCATGGCTCGCATGCCCACAGAAAGGGTTTTGCGTGCCACCTCTGACACCCCTGCCATAGGTTCGCCATCGCGGGTGTAGGGTGGATGTAGGGTCTCCTGCTTGGGTGGCGGCGGCAGGGGGGGTTGGGCTGGATGACCTCTAAGGTCCCTTCCAGCAGCTGAAAGCATCAGGAGGGCTCTTCCTGCTGAACGGCGATTGCCCTGCAACTCGGGCCTTTGCCTTTGGGGCGAAACCCCGCAACTTTGCCAAAGAGGTGTGCTGGAAAAACGTCCAGGCCTAATTTTTCTCTCTCTCTCTCTCTCTCCCCACTTCCCCTCTTTTGGCTCCAGGCCGCCTCATTAACCCAATTCCGGTCTTCCTCTCCCCCCGCCAATCCCGCCCACCCGCCACCAGCGCACATGTGTGTGCCCCCAAAAAGGCGGCTTTTTGGGGGGGGGGGGGAAAGGTGGTTGGGCCTGGGGCTGAACGGCCACCCGTTCATCCAACGCCAGGCCCGGTACGGTTGCAGGGCTGCAGCGGCCCTCGTCTTCTCTACACACACACACACACACCCGCTTCCCCGGAGCTCCCGTGCAGATGGCTTGCTGATCTCCTTCTAATGTTTAGTTTAACGTGTCTCCGGTTAATGCCTGACAGCCATGACAGCCCGTAGCTGTTCCTTTTTAAATATCATGTCAGAAACACGGCACCATAAAGCCGAGGATGTGTGTTCCGCGGTGGCTCTGTCTCCCTGTTCGTGGAATCAGGCGCTTCGTTTTTAATGAGGACAATCTGCATTTTGGGGGGCTTCTAACCCCCCCTCCTCCTCCCCACCTCGTTCCCTCCCCCCATATGTCAGGATGCCTGGACAAATCCACAGCCATCTCTGCGGCTGGCCAAAAACCAAGAGCTGACAAATGTAGATATTTCAAATTTAATTGACACCTAAATGTACTTAAGACAGATAAACGAGAGGGAGGAGTAGGGGGAAAGAGAAGGAGAGAGAAAGGGGGGAAAAACAGCAAGGAACTCGTGGGTGAACAGTTGGGGTAGGCAGTCAACGGCAAGAGTTTTTGTCAGGAAAAGAGTGTTTTTCTGCAAAACAGGACTGTTTTTGAGGGAGAATTTGGCGGATACCGAGTAGTAGCCTTTGGTGACTCTCAAGTTTAGATCCGCTGATCAAAATATGGTCCCTTTCCTCGGACAACGGGGATGGGCTTTGAAGCAAAAGCCCTGCCCCCTCCCTTAAGACCTAGTGTCATGCCCCTGTGGGGGTCTGAATCTGAGGAGGAAGAGGAACAGCTGACAGGTAGTGGGACAGTGGCTCCGTTGGCTGTGGAGGAAACCGGGGAAGGGCAAAGTCCAGCAGGGCAGAGCAGGGAAGAGGTAGAACAAGGGAGAGTAAGTTCAGAGGAAGACCCAGGCCCACCCCCTCTTCATCCTAGGGCACGCAGGGAGGAACGGAGAAAGGAGCAACGTGGGTTGCCTGGCTTACGGGGGAGGAAAGGGCCCTGATTCCCTTCATTAGCCACACCTGGGAATGAGAGTTTAAAAGAGATGCAAGCTGAGTGTGGCATCCGCTGGGAACAAACATGAGCTTATCTTGTGTTGACTTTGGTTATCTGTGTTCCAGGCATCCTCCCAACCGTGTTGATTTGTGGCCATTCCTTCACATCTGGAATTCCTTCTCTTGCCCTCTGGACTAATTATCTCATTTTGCCTTGATTGGACTTCTAGTTACAGTTTTTGTTGACCACCTTTTGGACTTGATTCTCCGCAGCCAATGGCTGTTCCTGGGAGAGTTTTCCTCCAGCCCAGAAGGTAACCAGGACATTGGGGGCAAAGTGGGAGCTAACAAAGGGACTCCTACTGATTATCTGACTGGGTTGCCTTTGTGCCACACCCCTTTGGGTCGTCACACCTGGTCACCCTGGTCCAGCCAGCCCACCTGGAGAAAGACAAGCAAAAAAAACAGGAGCTGGGAAGAAGAGATGCTTCCTGCAGGTGAACCAAGCCGGCAGGACCTGAATCATCCCTCTTGCAAACTCTTTGGCCTGGGGGGGTGGGAAACCTTGCTATGGCTAGGGAGAGAGCAACGTGCCACCAAACCCTCCTGAGAAATGAGATGGGGCACATGGACATCCCTCAGGTCTTAGAAGGTGTTCAAGGAGAACCTCAAGAGAAGCGCCGAGGTGGCCATCCTTCCTCACCAAGAAACAGGAACGTGCGGAGCCCAACAGGCAGTCTTTGGAGAAGGATGGGAGGATCCACAGAGATGCTTCCTCCACCAACAAAAGGTTTGTCGATCCACCCCCAGGGACAGAGCAAGGAGCTTCTCCCCCCTGTCCCGTCTCTGGCTTTCGTCTCCACAGGCTAAAAAGGAAGGTCTGCCTTTGAAGGCATCGGCTGTCTTCTATTGAACCCAGAGAGCACGAAAAGGATGTTCTAGGCCCGGGTGGGGATGGCGTGCCCATGCGCAGATGTGCTGCATGTGGGGGGAGTCACGCATCCATGCACAGGGGGCACGGGGGCCCAGCATGCATTCTGGGTGCTGGCACATGCGTGATTATCGGCACGGGAGCTGAAAAAGGTGAGCCACCACCGTTCTAGGTGGTATGTGGGAGCCTAGAAAAGAAAGTGATGGCTTTTTCCTCCAGGCCTATTAAACTCTGGAGAAGCCACCACTGGAAACTTCCACTGCAGTGAACGCAGAAGGGATGAACCAAATGGGCAGGATCTTCTCGGAGCAACCCTTCTGGGTCCCCCTGAAATCAGGGGTTATTTCTCTCTTTAGAGACCAAAAGCACGAGGCAAGGAAGAGCAATGGGATCTCGAACCTGCCCTGGATGGTCCAAGGAGCTGCCAGGGTTCCTATAGTTGCAGTGTTTGAGTTTTTGAGAACCTGTGCAGATTAAGACCCTGGAGAGCAGCCTCAGTGCCTCGATCTTTTAACTGACGGTTGTTACGCCTTGTTTTTCTTTTGCAAAAGAAATGAAAGAGCCTTCACAAGCAAAACCCCCAGGGCTTCCTCCATTCCCCTGGGACTCCAGGCTCAGCCTAAACCCCCCCTCCCTTTACAGCCACCCAAGTTCTCCCTCACCCCAAAATGAAGCCCGCAGGGAAGGCGCTTTGTTTTCTCACCTCGCTCCCTCGGGCCAACCTTGTTTGTTTCACGCTGGGAGAACCCAACCGCCACTTTCCGCCGGTCCCTGGTTGAGTGGGACAACCGAGCACGGAGCCTTGGGAAGGCCTGCAGGGAGGTGGGGAAAGGGGGCCTTGTCCTGCAGAGCGTTGGGCGGTCCGTGGAACACCAAAGAGGAAGCCCCCCCACCTCAAAAGCAGCCCAAGAGGTTAGATCCGCTATCCTGTCCCCTGATGGAAATGGGAGACCTTCCGCCATTATGGGAGCCTCTCTGGTGCAGTGGTTAGAGTGCAGTACTGAAAGCTACTTCTGCTGCAGCCAGCTGCCTACGGTTTGGCAGTTCAAATCCCACCAGGCTCAAGGTTGACTCAGCCTTCCCTCCTTCCAAGGTGGGTCAAATGAGGACCCAGATTGTTGGGGGCAAGAGGCTGACTCTGCAAACCACTTAGAGAGGGCTGGGAAGAGGTATATAAGTCTAAGTGCTATTCCTTCCTTCCTTCCTCCCTTTCTTCCTTCCTTCCTCCTTTCCTTCCTTCCTCCCTCCCTCCCTCCCTTCCTGCCTCCCTCCTTTCCTTCCTTCCTCCTTTCCTTCCTTCCTTCCTTCCCATCCATCCATCCATCCATCCATCCTAGCTCAAGGTTGACTCAGCCTTCCCTCCTTCTGAGGTGGGTCATATGAGGACCCAGATTGTTGGGGGCAAAAGGCTGACTCTATAAACTGCTTAGAGAGGGCTGGGAAGTACTATGATATAAGTCTAAGCGCTATTGCTATCTCCCACCAATAAGGACCACTTGAATAATCTTTCTTTGTGGCCTTCCTGGGATAGGGAGTCATCTGCAGGAAATTGCTGGCCTGTTTATCATGAGACGTTCAAATCTTCTGTTCGGACACATGATTTCCGGGCTTCCCACCCAAAACTTCCACGCCTGTTTCTCTGCACCTCTTTTAAAGAGGAGAGAGCGTGATAAGCAATCGGTAGCTGGTGGGAGCTACAACTGCGGGCATCATCATTAAATCAAACATCTGACTCACACGGTTGTCTCCTTTCTGGAGTTTTATTTTTCCAAGCAAGATTTGGTGGGCGGGAAGCTCAGCCATCCAAACTTTCTCGCTCCTTTTTTTTTTTTCATCGTTCGACTGGAACTGTCCTCTCTAAAACCTTTTCCGTCCCAAAACACCAGAAAGGAGAAAGAATCCGCCCGAACAACGGACAGCAAAATAAATTCGAGGCGACGCCAGATGGAGAAAAATGCAGGGATATCGTACGGTTGGCCTCGTAAGCTGCATGGTAGACCAAATCCTGGCCTTGGGGGGCAGAATAGGATATTTTCCACCTCGTTTTAACGGTTGATCACACAGACAGATATTTAGACTGGATTTGGCCTGATGATCCACCCATTGAGTCCTTATTATTATTATTTGTGCATGGGGATTTCTCAAGGTTAACTCTACACTTGGCGAGGGTGATGATGATCAGAGGAGAAAGTAAGGATCCAGAAGCACAGAAGATTTCTTCCACCAGAGGGCAATCGCGTTCCACCAAGCTTTTCCGAAGGAGAAATCTTGAGATACTCACTGTTCTGGGCTCGAGACAGATGTCCTCCGACCATCCATCGCCACGTTGCCTTTGGGTCTTCGGACAACTTGGGGTCTGGGTGGCCGAACCTATTGGACACCAAGTAGAGATGGCACCAGTGATTCTGACATGAGCTGGAGGAGCGATACGATGCATGCAGAGGTGGGTTTTCAGCCGGTTCCCGAGCGGTTCTGGAGAACCGGTAGCAGACAATTTGAGTAGTTCGGAGAACCAGCCAATAGCACCTCTGAGTGGCCCCGCCAACCCCATCTCTTTTCCGCCTCCTATTGAGTCCCAGCTGATCGGCTGGGTCTCCTTTGGTTGCCCTGCATAGGAGAACGGAGCTGGAAAGCAGGTTAGTGGGGGGGGGAGGGAAGGGGGATTTTACAGTATATCCTTCCCCTGCTACGCCCACCAAGCCACGCCCACCAAGTCAAGCCACACCCACAGAACTGAACAATTTGATTCCCACCACTGGATGCGCCCTTCCTCAATCCAAGATCACGCCGCCCCTTTTGGAAATGGCACCCTCCTTTGCTAAACCCCATCGATCCAGATCCCTTCGGACTCTGCTAATCTGTTAAATCTGTGAAAAGTGCAAAGAAGAACCACCCAGATGTTTCAAGGCCTGGAAACTAAAACATGCGAAGAATTGCCACCCGAAGTTCTTCATCATTGGGTTTTTCTTTTTTTAAAAAAGAAGAAACCGGACAGCCACTTGTCTGAAATGGTAGAACGTCTCCTGCTTGAGCAGGGGGCTGGACTAGAAGACCTCCAAGGCCCCCTTCCAGCACTATTTGGATTAATTGAATGAATGAATCTTGTTCTTCTTGATGGTTAGAAGAAGCTCCTGGTCTGGTTTGAGCAACTTCTTTAAACCAACAAGTGAAAATGAGGCAAGGTGGTACCACTCCCCACTTAAAACACTTGACTCCAAAAAAAACGGGTTAGTCTCGGACACTCCAATGTTCTCCACCAGTTCCTGAAAAATTATTTCTGCTACTTCACGGAAATAGAGACGTCCTGTCTCCCGTGCCCTCCTCCATCCCCACAGGTGGGCTATCACGACGTTGTGGTCTTCACACGAGGGCTCCAGAAAGTATGCTTAAAAAACCCAGAGCTCTCCAAACTTGGCAGCTTTTAAAGAGTTCGTGGACTTCAACTCCCAGAATTCAAGTTGCCAAATTTGGGGACCCCCTGGTCAAAACAGGCTGATCCAAATCCTCAAGAGGACCCCCAAATTTGCCTTCCCAAGGGATGAGAACGGCGTGCGCGTCTTAGCACATCAGGGTGCATCGGGGTGATCCAACTTCCCAATTGTTGCAAAAATGTGAAGAAGACTCTCGGCTTTTTTTTTTTTTTTT